AACAATCAAATTAGAGCCTAACTCAAATATTTTACTAGAAGAGATAGTTTTAATGCTCAAATATCATCAAATTGATCATCTCGACATCAAGATGCATGTACATGAAAAAAAAAAAAAAAAGGATTTCATGTTTTGGAAATAGTGCATCTTGTAACACATTTTTGGACTGTCGACTTTCAAGATTTTCAAGTTTTCATACATCTGCTCGATCTACAATATTTTTTAAACCTTAAATTTTATAACTAAGATGGAAATATTACTTAAGGCTATCACAAAACTTTCCAGTATCGAAACTATATCTCTCGACACTATTTGAAGGTGGGCTCTAATTTGAATTTTAGAGCCTCGGCACTATATAAACCACATCTAGGGGTATACACAGGTCTAGTGGGCTCTAGGTCAACTAAGCAACAAAGTGCCTCATTTTTAATTTTGTGCTTCCGGTTCTCGCTAGAGCATCAAGGATTTGCCTGGTAATTGGACCCGAACTGACGACGTCCTATTAGTATCTAGATTGCACTGGGACCTAGGTTGGGTCTCGGTCATTGGACCCAAACCCAGACCCGGCCTGTCCAATCAGGTCGGTTCCAGGTCGACCTAGTCAATCAGCTAACTGGTGGGGTTGTTTGACCTGATTCCCTCCCCTACTCGTTGCAGATTTCACAATTCCTTTCTCTTCCCCCAAAACAAACTTATGTCACTAGGGAAAGGTTTCTACACTTCCCCACTCTATGGAAGATATATGCTTCCCCCAATCCAGCCATCAAATTTAGATCAATGTGCCACTGACCGTTTAATCTAAGATCATACGCCTCATATTTTAGTTTTTTTTTTTAAATACAAATTATATGGATATGAAATTTGGTACATGCCATAATCTCAATGGGGCGCACCTAAATAAAATATTAATTTTTTTTTGTCAAAATATAATAATTAAAATGAACTTTGAAACTTTCAAGGGGGATTTTGGTTATTTTATTTATTGAGAATATTTTTTACAAGTGTGTTTAAGTGAGGAGTAGATGCCCAAATTTTGGTATCAAAATAGTTTGGAAAACAAAAATAAAATAGAATAATATAGAGATGTAATATTGTGATTGGGGTCATCTCAGTCGACCATTCAAAATGGACAGTTGGATAGAGGGACGTATATAAATTATATGCACTAGGGGAAGCATAGAAAGCTTGCCCTTGACTCTATTGTATACAAATACACATACATGTGGATGGGGGTCAATTAAGGATCACTTTCTTATACACAAATATTCATTCATTTTAAACCAAAGGGAGACACAAGTGCAAGAAAAAAACCCTAAAAATATAGTAAAAAATTGAGAGGAGGATATGTCCATTTGTAAAACTGTGCTCTAGTACCATGGACTATGGGCAAAAAGAGTTTGTTGGGGCATCACCTTCCAAACAGTAGGAGACAGTGATGAGTGTAGGACCCATTACAAAATAACATGAGACATTGGGTACCCCCAGACTCTCACTCTCTTCAATATCTCAATTGATTATGGTTTTTCCATAGTCAAACGAATTACACTGAACTTGCCCCTCTAGAGAGTTTGAGACATCGTGGCCAAGGCAGCATACACATTGATTGAGAGAGAGAGACCCTTAGTGTTACTTTTCAACCACATGCAGCACCAGGTACCACTATGTACCTTGATTCAAAAAGCGGTGCGCCCAATGCCTAGGAGGGCTTAGGGGCCCGGCCAAAGAGATATGCTGACTTACAGTTGGCTGAATATGGAACCTTTAATAGAGCAAAGTGACAAAACATAATTATAGGACTTTTAATAGAAGAAAATGGCATAATAGCCAATCCCAAATAGCTTGGATAAGACTTGGGTGATGATGATGATGATTGGTTGTCTCGACTTGTGTCACTAATTATTCACAAAGTGCTGATAGCTCTCTCCCGAAATTTGTGTAGATAAATGATGAAGCCGCAAGTGCTTGGTTTTAACGGTTTGGGGTGATTGTGGCCTCCTATCAAAGATAAGTGACCTTATAACTTACAATCCCAAAAATACTTGGAATCTTTAAAAATGACAAGTGATAGTGTGCATTCATTCTTCTTAATGTAACAAATGCTCCCACTCCTTATTCAAATACTCCCACTCCATGCTCAAACTTATTATTCTGCCCACTCTTTTGTGTATTAAAAAAAAAGGGGGTGGTTTGTATAGAGCCGAGGCTCTAAACAATCAAAATAAAGCGCACCTTTATATAGTATCAATAAATGTAGTTTTAACTAGGAGTAACACAAATTTTTAGGGCCCGCTGAGCAAGGGGTGGCAGCAAGTCAGATCGGACCTAGACCCAAACCCGATTACACCTGACCAAAAATAAAATATATATGTATTTAAATATTATTAAAATATTAGTATATTAAATATTATTTAAATAATTCAGGTCGAGTCCGGGTGAGGTCCACATGGACCCGGACCTGACCACCCGGGTCCAAAAATTGGACCCATTACCCAGATCCAGGTTGGGTCCAATCATCAGGTCCGGGTCCAAGTTTACCTTGCGTGCTAAACGCGTCTGATCTAGGTCTATAGCATACTGGTGAAGAAACAATTCCACATCATGCTAGGCTACAGCCATCTTTTGACACAGCTTACTTGAAACATGGCAAATCATAGACTCCTAAAAGAACTAGATTTCTTTCTTTTTTGCGTGAACAAAAAGACTGGGTGAACAAAAAGAACTAGATTCTCCTTCAATTGTGTTTAATGTACCTTCTCGATGAAGCCAAACTCTCTCTTTGAGTTACTATTTTTGTGAATATGTGAGCTCCACTGGGTCAGCAATACGATTGTTTGCTTCCTTTAGGTACAATTATATCTAACTATTAGATGTAAAATGAGGTCATTGGGGGTGTAGGCGGCTGAGGGTGGTGTAGGCGGCTGGGGGATATATGCTCTGGACCACTCTCAAAGCCCAAGAAGACTTTTTTAGAGTGTACATAAATGACTCCCGAAGTTAAAGCCGAGCTCTCATTTGACACCTTCAGGAGATTGTGACCTCCTTATACTAAAGGTAAATGGTCTTTACTACACAATCCCATGCAATAATACTATGACCACACCACGTGCATATAAGAAAGAAGGTGAAAATGAAATTACATTATACATCATTTGTACAGATAAGATACAGAGTGAAATGCCACTATGCAGAAATGGGAGGGAAAAACTAGTGAGAGAGTGAGCGAGCGAGAGGAAATTCATCGGTTGAGTTCTATGTACACTAGAGGCAACATTGGAAACTCTGATTGCCGTAAGTAAAAATTCAAAAGACTGGCACTCGTTGGTCTCAGTGACCGTTGAAAACTCTCTCTCTCTCTCTTACTCAAAATTTATGCTCCAAAGCCACCGGATATTAGTTTAGGCTTCACCTGGAACACATCCAATATGATATGCATGACTCGCATCCGAACTCTGATCCTTTGCTGCTGAATTTGGTTGAGTTGATGATGCATTCTGTTTAGGTGGAAGTTGCTGAAATGGTCGATACACAGGAGGCAATAGCAAACCAGAAGGCTTGTCCATGGCCAGCAAGCAGCTGCACTTACTGCAAAGTGAAAATGCTCAAACGCATAAAACTAATCATTCAAAGAAAAATTTCAATCCAAAGAAACTAGTTCATATAGGACACTAAGGTTAGAGGGAATCTGAAAACCATTAAAGCCAAGAAAACCAGTACCTAACATACCTGCACAATTTGGTGAACAATGTCTGATATCCAGACATCCACTTCTGAAACAGACAATCATGAGAAAAAATCAGTTAAAGGTTCACATCAGGGTTTTCTTTTCCTTCTGAAACAGAACCATTATTTTGGGTTTCAGGCTCAAAGTTGGCGAGAATTTGTTTTTTGATGGGGGCGGAAGGTCGGGGAAGTGTTTCTAAATTAAATAGAAGGAGAGTAGTCAAATTCTGAGATATGGAGAATTTTTCATGCTTGTATTTTTATTTTTTCAAGACCATTTTAGGAAATCATAAGAAAAAATTGACAGCATTCTATACTAAGAACAATCCTAGCATATTCCACCTGATAAGCATCATCAATGTGCCAGTATAATTTTGTCACTAACCATATTTTGGTTGCCACAAGCTGAGATTTGGACCATGGACATTCTTGCCCTGGCCATTCCAACCTCAAGTGTAAGATAATCCAAATGAGTAAGATATGCTTTCTTCCAAATGGGTCCCATTCTAAGTAACACATATCATACCCCATTGGATTTTGGGGTACTTTCCATAACCAGCATTCTAAGAGGCTGAACCTCATGAAAAGTTCAGATGAGTGAAAGAAGCTTATTGCCTTCTGCAAAATGCAGAGACAGCAGCAAGGACTAATACATTATAAGGAAACATAATGAAGTGGAGAGCTTTACGTACAAAAAGGAGGTCTAATGAAGCATGACTCCTCGTGCCAAGGAAATACTGCAAAGCCTTTCCAGCATTATCCTGCAAGATTTAGCAACACAATTTAATACAAAAGAGGTTCATAGATTTGGTGTACAGAAAAATGGAAAGTAATCATCCAATCCATTAGAGTTACACTATCAAGTCATGATTGATTATTGGAATAGATGGTGACGAAGAGGGTGGGAAGCATCATTCGGCTTGCTCTCTTTTCATCACCATCCATGATTTTATTGGAACGATATGAGCCCAATGGACTAATGGAAAACCAGAGCCTATTGGACCACCAACAAAACTTTAGTTATAAAGAGCATATACAAATTGGGTATCAATTACCGTAAGATGTTGATATACATGATGAACTGAGGAGCCTCTTGAATGAATATAGGTTCCAACCTTCACGAAGAAGAGAGAGAGGTCAGGAACCATACTGCATTTGAACAATAAAAAGCTCAAAGAGACACCATTTATTTCAATTTGTCGCCTTAAATCTTTTAGGTGAGTAAATTGGGGGTGATAGGAATGCCTAGCATTGCAAGTCTGTACAGTAGTCACCCAAGTACTGTACATTTTATACAGGCTACATAACATACTGTGTTCCAGACACAGCAGGTTGCTGAGTCTAAGTAACTCACCCGAGTCCAAGTCAATAGGGTGAGATCTAGAACATTGGCCGTAAACAACAAAAAGAAGCTCAAAAGACAATGTTCTTTTGAGACCCATAAATCCCTAGAAAACAAACGCATCTTTCCAAATAACAAAAGTAAATTACATGGAAAATTATACTATAACTCATGGATCAGCAAATAAAGGAAGAAGAATTACAGAGAGCGTGTGACCCACCACCAAGCACATGCCCCATTCTGGTGAGTCTCACTCTCTCTCCTGTTAATCTCCATCCCTTGATTGGCCAGCAAAGAGCCCAATGGACCACAGATTTTCCATAGCCTATCAGATAATACTATACTTTCCCATATACTACAGTAACTATACTTCAAATTGATTGATTAAATCAAGCTCATTGCTGCACGGTAATCTTAGCCACAAAAACCTCACCAAAATTACCTCATCAGGAGAAAAGAAAGCCACTGAATCTGGATTTACAGAGCCAGCTGGGTTCAATGATACTACAGCCCTGAAAACAGAAGGAACCCACAACTCAATAACAGCCACTCGATCTAGTTCTTGAGTACCAGTAGTCCCCATCATCAACTTGCTAAAAGTAGGGAATTTTGAATCTTTCAAGGAATCACCACAATTCTCCTTTGTCAAAGAAGACGACAATGAAGAAGCTCGTTTGACCCAATCCAAGCGTTGGTAGGTAAAGATTTTTAAGTTGGGTGCATCCGTTTCCAAACCAGTAAGAATATCAGATAGAGTTTTCCTCTCTGTGATAATCTCATCAACAATGTCATGCTGGAGATCACTACTGGTTGGCCCAAAAGAACAGCGAAGCTTTTTTGAAATGGCAAACTCGCCCGACTTTTCCTGGCTAAGTGATTCATCCTCTAGGTGGGGAAAGAAACGTCTCTTCTGGTCGGTAAATGCTTTGAGAGCTAACCTGAAAAATTCAAAATCAATGGTTCCATATAATAACTGTTTTATAAGATTATTTTTTACGTTCTTTTATAAATACTCAGATATAACTAAGAAACGTATAGACAAAAACTTTAATACACATGGGCAAGCACCATTAATCAACCAAAAGTTTCATATATTAACAGTGCAAGAACATCTGAATCAGAAATTATGGTTCCCCTACATTCACCAATTCCAGTTCCAATAAATCTAACACACCTGAACAAAATCAATACTAGATGAAACTAGGGCTGTTAACAAGCTGGATTCGAGCAGGGTCAACCCTGGCCTGGGCCAGGTAGGTCCCAGGCCCGGAATTTAGTAGTTTGGGCCTAGCCCAAATTCATGATAGTGAAGCCCGAGACTTGAGAGCCAGGCCAGGCTTTATATAAATATGGGAAATGAATTTTCATCATCATCATAATCATCAGAGTCTTATACCAACTATTTGGGGTTGGCTACATAAATCATGTTCTGCCATTTTGCTCTATCAAGGGTCATACCCTCAGTAAGACCATAAGTACCCATATCTTTTCTCGCTATTTCCATCCATGTCCTTTTGGCCTTTTAGAGCTTTTACTAGAACCAAATCGCACCTCCTAACCGGTGGTGTATTAGGTCTATGCTACACATGGCCAGCCCAATATTTTATCCTATAACGCAAAGCTAGTCTCATAGTTGTCCTATAGAACTTCCCCTTCAGCTTCATTGATATGCGGCGTTCACATAAGACTCAGTTGCACATCTTCACTTCACCCACCCAGCTCCAATTCTATGTGCGACTAATGCAGTCGAGTTGATCCCGCTGGATTTTTTGGAGTGATGGGATCAAGGTAGGAAGAAGCAGCATTAGATTATCGTATTTTTTTATTTATTTTATTTTTATTTCTCTTGCTAGCAAATCTTTATTTTCTTTTTTTTTTAGCAAGTTTTTTTACTAAGATGTCTATTTTTGGAAGGATAAGACCTTTCCTTTTGTTAAGGCCATTTTTTTAGGAAGGTTTATCTTCAAATGGGGGGTTACTAGTTTTTCATCTTTAAAGAAGCTTATCTTTAGGTGGGGACGTGGTTTAGGAGGTGTCTTTGGAAAGGCAAGACTAGGAGGTTTTAGAGAGGGTATAAAAGGGGTGGCCGTGTTTTGCAATGTTGATTTTTTTTATGGTGAATGAACAAACAATAACATGTACAGAGAGAGAGAGCCTTCTCGCGGTTTTTTCTTCTCTTTGTTTTTGTGGTGCATGGTGGAAGTCTCGGATCCCCACGTTAGTGCCTCCTCCTTGTGATTTTCTTCTCGGCTTTTGTTTCTCTCTCCAAAACATTGTATTCGTTGGTTGTTGGTGCCGGTGATTTTCAGCGAGTTCAAGAAAAAGAAAATAACGATTTGCTAAAAAATAAAAAAGTAAAAAACACTATAATTTAATGCTGTCTTCTGACCCCGATCCAATTGCTCCAAAATAATCTAGTGTGATCAACTAGACTGCATCATCAGGGAGTTGCATAATGAAGGTCACTACTGGAAAAGATCGTCAGGGAGTTGCATAATGAAGGTCATTTTGGTCGTGACAGAACCATGACCTTGGTGTCTAAGGATTATTTTTTACCCAAGATATTGCATGACATTGGTAGATTTATAGACCGATGCTAAATTTGTCAGACCTCCGAAGGGAATACTAGACTCAAAAATCCATTACCAATACCAGCTACAACATGGGAGGATGTTAGTATGGAGTTTGTGTTGGGTTTACCAAACGCAGAGGAGTACGGATTATGTATTTGTGGTGTAGACAAATTCTCCAAATGGCATATTTTATTGCCTGCATGAAAACTATGGATGCTTCTAACATTGCAAAAATCTATTTCAAGGGGACTGTCCGATTGCATGACATTCCAAATTTAATTACTTCTAATAGATATGCAAAATTCACGAGTCATTTTTGTAGATCTCTATGGAAATTGATGGGAACTGAATTATGTTTTAGCAGATTTTATCATCCACAAACTGGTGGTCACACAAAGGTAGTGAATAACAGCTTGGGAAATTTGTTGCGCAGTTTGGTAGGAAACAAGCCGAAGCAGTGGCATTTGGCTTTATCTCAAGTTGAGTTTGCTTTCAACAGATCCCAAAATCGAATTACTTAGAAAAGCCCGGTTGAAGTTGTCTATGGCTATAACCCAAATAGTGTGCTTTGACTCATATACCTCATGCAGGGAAATTTCGTGGCAGAGCAGAAGACTTAGCTAACCAAATTAAAAACATTCATGAGCAGGTTAAGAAGCAAATTGAAGCAAATAATGCTAAATACAAGGTTGTTGTAGATAAGCATTGTCGCAAGTAAGTATTTGAAGTCAGAGATTATGTGTCGGTTGTTTTGACCAAAGACATGTATCCTACTGGGGAGTATAACAAACTCAACAATCGAAAGATTGAGCCATGCGAAATTTTCAAGAAGATCAATGTTAATGCCTATTCAATAAAGCTACCAAGCCATATGAAAACTCCATATGTTTTTAATGTCAAGCACTTAATTCCTTACACATGAAATTCCTCTAGTGACAAAGAGCTTAACTTGAGGGTGAGTTCTCCTCAACCAGGGGAGGATGATGAGGTATCACGCTAGATTTTTTGGAGCGATCAGATCGGGATCGGAAGAGGTAGCATTAAATTATCGTATTTTTTAATTTATTTTTATTTATCTCCGTAGCAAATCTTCTTTTTCGTCTTTTTTTAGCAAGTTTATTTAGTAAGAGGCTGAAGGGCAAGTTCTATAGGACAATGGTGAGACCAGCTTTGCTCTATGGGGAGGAATGTTGGGCGGACAAAAAACAATATACCCATAGAATGAGTGTAGCAAAGATGTGGATGTTGAGATGGATAAGTGGCATGACAAGAAGGGATAGAATTCGAAATGAATCTATTCGAGAGAATTTAGGCATGGCACCAATAGGCGATAAAATGAGAGAGAGTAGACTTAGGTGGGCTGGCCATGTGTGGCGCCGACCAAGTACAACACCTGTTAGGAGGTGCGAGTTAGTTCAAGTGAAAGGACTAAAAAGGGCAAAAAGGACGTTGGAAGAAGTTTGAAAAGATATGGGGACTTATGGCTGACTCCAATTAATAGGGAAAAGGCTAAAATGATGATGATGAACATGATGCAGTTTTATTTAGTAACACGTCTTTTTTTAGAAGGATAAGACCTTTCTTATTGGTAGACGGCAGTTTTCTTTTGTTTTGAAAGAGTTTTTTTTTTTTTAGTGAGGCCATCTTCAAATGGGAGGTTACCGTTTATCGATCTTTAGGGAGGCTTATCTTTATGTTCAGATGTGGATTAGGAGTTATCATTGGAAACGCAAGACTAGGAGGTTTTAGAGAGGGAATAAAAGGGATGGCAATCTCTTATAATGTTGATTTTTTTAATGGTGAATGAACAAACAAAACAGTAACATTTAGAGAGAGAGAGTCTTCTCACGGGTTTTTCTTCTCTTTGTTCTTGTAGTGCGTGGCAGAGGTCTCAGATCCCCATGTTTGTGCCTTTTCCTTGCAATTTTCTTCTCAGTTTTTTGTTTCTCTCTAAAATGCAGTGGTATTAGCCGGTTGTTGACCACCAGAGATTTTCTAACTTTGTGTTAACATTGCTTCTAGTCTCATCAATCAAAACCATTGTTTCAAAAGGTGGTCTGCCTAGGCGATCCAAGTAGCCTCAGTGCCTTGCCTAGGCTTAGACGGTAAAAATAGGCAGCCGCCGAGGCACGTGGGCACCCGCCTGGGCATCCGCCTAGGGCTTGTGCTCAGCCCAGGGGTGAAAATGCTCCTCGTTGGGCATTTTTGAGTTGTTTGATAAAAATAAGATAGTAAAAATTGGGGTTTAGGTTCACTTCAAACCTAAGCTCCATTAGAGCCCATTTAGAGAGACAGAAACATCAAAAAACCTGTTTTTTTTATTTCCATAGGATCGAAGGGAAAGGACTATGGGGTGCATGGAGTTTGGATTATGGTATGGACAATGGAAATAGTCTAACACTCTAATGCCTAATGGTTTGAAGTTTAGACTTCAAAGTTTGATTTTTGAATTTGAAGTGCATAGAATTATGGACTAAAATATGCCTCAATATGTAATTTTTAATTTTTTATACAAAATATGATCTTAAAACAACTTTTTATTTTACTAGGCCGCCTAGGTTCTAGGCACCCGACTAAGCGCTAGGCAGCTTGGACCCCCCGGATCGCCTAGGCACTGCCTGATGCTTTTTGGAACTCCAATCAAAACTATGTTGCTCAGAAACAAAATACACCATGGTACCTCATCTAGTAGATGCCTAGTGTAAGCCCTAGTGAAACCAAATGAGAGTTCCATAAACATCTCCAGGAAAAAAAATCCCTTTTTTTTTATGAACGACGATCTTTAATTAATTTGTTATGAATTGTAAACAATTGTTGTGAGGAACAAAAAAGACGAAAAGAATAAGAAATAGAAAAGAGACTAAAGAGGTTGATTAGCGATATAGCCACATTCCTGGGATGTACTACATTGTGCAGGCTCTCTCACAAGCACGTAGCTAGAGTTCTTGCCATTTGGGAGGAAGGTGATTTAGAAAATTATGGTCCAAAACCTTGAGAGAATGTAGACCCCATGAAAAGGGCAATTTTCATCCTTTAGTGAGCTAATCGATCTTATTGAGGTTGCTTTAGCAGGCACTCTCTGAGTTACATGTCCCTTTTCTAGATACCCATGAACTAATGTCAAGGATGGACAAATAAGAAAGTTTGCAACGTGAGTTCATTGGAGTGGTAGAAAGATGTAATTATTTCATTTGGTGAACTGAGAGGAGGCAAGAAAGGGTTAGGAAGGAATACAAGCTAAAATAAGCAGCCTCATGCAACACAAGTCTCTGTTGGGCAGTACTAGGGATTCTAGGACAAATTATATTTCCACAAAAAAAGAAAGAAAAAAAGATACCAGGACAAATTAAAGAAGGACAAGGTTTCTATGAGTCGGCCGACACACCTATTTAAATGAAACATCTCTCCAAAATCTATTGTAGAGATGGATTTTCATTTGGTATGGCTCTAAAGTAGGAGTTGAGCAATTAAAGAGGGTTACAGACAGATGAAGTATTCAAGGGCTAGGCGCTATATCAAAGAGGGAGCATGAGTTTTTGATGGGTCTAAATAGGATGGCAAGTGGGAGAAAAAAGCATTCCTAAGATGACCCATGATGTGAGTATGATAGTTTGGGTGTAAAGCATCTTTGCCATTTAGAGTAACTGGACACAGGATTCCTCATGAGCCAAATTCTTCTGAAAGGAGAAGCAATAGCGTGGGTTACTCAATGCATCAGCAGAGTGCCAGAGTGTGATATTATACATCCACTCCCATGAAAATCAATCGATATCAAGATGAACATAGAAATTTGAGCCAAAGCCTTAATAACATTCACCAAGTAGTCACAATTATGTCACTTTTTGTACTATAACTCCCATTTACCAATTAGTGAAATGTCAATTAAAACATAAATATGATTTTGGATCAAAATGGAAAAACAGGACCAATCTGTCAAAAATTCACAATGCACAAGGTAAGTAGTTATTTCCAAAAAGAGATGCACTCAATGTTTAAGAACATTAAGGGTATGCTCTTAATCTATGAAAGTGCAAGGGGCGTGAATAAACCATCCAAACAACCAGATTTTTAACCTAAATGTCCGTTCTTTCTAACCATGTACCTCTGAAAGGAAGCACTATGTTGCAATATCTGAATAAAGATCCTGCCTCCATAACTTGTTGGCTGCTAATGATGTAAATCAATATTATTCATTTAAAGAATTGCTCTATATAACTGAAACTTTGTTGAGTTAAAACTTTTTACAAGCACAAATCAGTTTGGGTTCAGAAGGATGATCCGACAATATGATGTCATCCTAGATATGGTTGTATCTACAGATAAACTTGCACAATTAGCTGCATTTGTCAGTGCATCAGCTGCAGTTATTTTGTCAAAAAAATGTTATTAATCAAGAGAGACACACCTGGTTCTGTCGACAGCTGATGCAGCAGCTTGACCAGCAAGTTGGCGCTTCCAAGCATATGCAACCACAGCACCATCAGGACAAACAAGCGGCATATGAAGACCCCAAGAACCGTTATCTTGAGCACGCAAGGTCCCACTTAAAACACCAGAAGCTTCCAGTTTCCTTCCTAACATTGGGAGAAGAAACTCAACTTTTAGCATCTTATTCACTCAATAAGATTCTCATATCTATGCAATATAAGGACATTTCAAATGTTCATGTATGACTTAGGAGCACTCCAAGATTAAAAAAAAGCACACTAAATTACTAATAGCACATTTCTCAAAAAAAATTACTAATAGCATAGGCAAGGTGGAAGCATAAAAAATATACATATCATGCACAAATAGACCAGGGAAGTATACTATAATACAATGTACAATGGAGAAACCATAATGCCTACAGTATCACCATCCATTGAAATGATGGACAGTGATAGACAGAGAGTGGGATACACCATTAGAGCCATGTCAGGTTCTAGAGGATATATCTCTCTTTCCATCATCTCCCATTATTTCAATGGATGGTGGCCCAATGGATGACATGTTTTCAATTCAATAATCCTTCAGTATACAGTATCCATTTCCTAATTGAGTGCATCCTATTTCTACAGCAGTCTATGTCATCCACCAGAGACCGATCAAGCAAGTTACTTCTATTGAAAAAGGAAATCTTTTTTTTTTTAACTATACTACTTATTCCGAACATTGAGATTAAAGAGCAGAACAGAGAATGGACAAAACATTATTTCCGATTTACATTAATTTTGTCTAGTCCAAATAGAGCATTGTGTTGTCTTTGCCAGTCCTGTGGGGGTCAGGGATGGGAATACAGCTGAAGCAAAAGCACTCCTCATGTGGCTCAAATTATTCTTTCGAGAATTCACAGGCCCACTCTTTGTTGGAGGTCAATACTGAATGTCACCAGATGGGCCTAGGAAGATGGACCATATGCGTGGAATCTAGCCAATATGATGGATAAGACTCTCCATCTCTTTTTTGGAATTTGCTTATCTTCTCTTCTCCTTTTTCTCTCTGTTTTTCTGTTAGTTAACCGGAACACCTAGGAAACTCTTGTTGTTGCAGGAGGGGGAGTAGGTTAAAGATGGTTTTCCATTAGAAATTACTCAGGGAATGATTGGTTAGGTGCCTCAATCTCACCTCCCCGAATCTAGGTGATTGGGGGCACATGTCTCGGGTTGGAAGACCCTGGATCTCAGATCGCTCTCTCGGGAACCTCGTTCACAGAACAAGGGCGTTGTTCAATTAGTGAGAGGAATTTTGGATGTGAGGTGGGGACCAACCTCACCTAAGTCCGTGACTTACTCGGGCTGACTCGCGTGGGCGCCCTCTTAGATCATAACGGAAAGCCCCCCAACTGCTTCAGCTGGTTCAGAATCGCCTCCTTTGACCTGCAATCTCCTTCTTTTCTGCACAACATTATCATGGTTAACTTGCAAGACAAGTGGGCCAAAGGACCCACCCTTGTCTAAGGGCAATGCACATTCATAAGCGAGGGTGATGAAGGGGAAGGTTTGAATAGAGAAAAGAACTTGACAAGGGGACGAGACTAGCATGATAGTTGGACCAGAAACCGACTCGGAGTGGTAGCAAGACAGGCATGGTACTCAAGACCAGCACGACGGCAATACTACTAGAAACCAAGGTCAATGCAACTGTCCTAATCTGGTGTGGCAACAAGACGGGCATGGTACTTAGGACCAGCACGACAACAATACTGCTCGACAACCAGACCGCTATAGCAGTGCTAAACTGAATCTACCCTCAGTCAAGTGAGGAGAAGAGAACAAAGAGAAGGCACGAGGCATCGAAGACGGCGCTAAACATCATTGCTAGCAGCGCGAGAAGGCAACACATCCCTTACGGGCGGCGATAGGCATCCCTGTTGGCAACATGAGAAGACAGCGTGTCCCATGCGGGCGGCAGTAGCTTCTAGTGAGGCGCACGACAACAACCTCTCGTGAAGCACACGGCGATAGGCGTGGGACGCAAGAGAATCCTGCGTACTACGATAGGTGCCAAGGGCATGAAGGAAGCCTGCGCGTAGCAATGGATACCGAGCACACGAGAAAGACTAGCGCACGGCAACAGATACCGAGCGCACAAGAGAAACTTTGCGCACGGCAATAGATACCAAGCGCACGAGAGAAGCTCGTGGATGGCGATGGGTATTGCCGCAACCCTTCACAGACGGCAATAGGCATCGCTGCCTGCAATAGGCACACAACAGGGTGAAACCCCTGTGGGCGACAATAGGCTTCGCCGCTTGTGTTCTTCGCTAAGGTGTCGAGGACACATCTGTAGACAGCAATGAGCAACGCCGTCTGCTAGCGTCACTGAGAGATAGAGATGAACGAACATAAGGGATAAGAAGCTCGCATGGTGCTGCCATCGCCATGCGCGACCTGTGAAACCACAGGAGGGAAAAAAAAACAAAAGAAAGAGGCATGCACGGCACTGCCACTGCCATGCATGGCCTCTGAGTGAGGCTCAGACAAAGAAGAAGACGAAAGAGGAGAAGAGAGAGAAGAAGAAAAGAAAAGAAAAGAGGAGAGAGAAAGATTTACCTTGTGCCTAAAGGTACCGATCCAAAAGTTTTTCTCTTTCCTCTCTCTCTCTCAACGTGACCCAACAATAAGAGGAAAGAGAAATTTTATTAAGCAAAGTTCTCTTTGGCCAAAGGTTCTCGTACAATGGTAGTACGTGATATATATAGAGTTGTGCCCAAACATGGGTGGATTGATCAAAAGTAAATCTAATTACTGGAAATTAAGATTTAATTGAATTAAAAGAAATTAGAAAATAGGGTGCAAAATGATAGATTTGCCCCTTCCTAGCAATTTCTGGAATTCCAAAATAGTCCCTATGCTGCCCTAGAATGTACGTAAGCTTTCATGGATGATCCAAGTTGTTATGATGCCCGTTTGATCGAAAGATGATTGTTTTCTTGTAGGGCTCGGCATAGCGATTGATTTGATACTAATTTCGAACCATGGATCGTGTTTTAGGCCACGATCATGCGACTTGAAATTTGAATGAATCTTACAACTTCAGATGCCCGTTTGATCGAAAGATGATTGTTTTCTTGTAGGGCTCGGCATGGCGATTGATTTGATACCAACTTCGAGCCATGGATCGTGTTTTTAGGCCACGATCATGCGACTTGAAATTTGAATGAATCTTGCAACTTCAGATCGATAGTGTGCCCGTTCCTTGATGTTTTTCTGTGATTTCTTCGCTGGATCACACTGAGCATGCCGTCATGATCACGTGGCAACAAATGCAGCTTGATTCCTTGCCCGGACGAAGATTTCGCAACTTTGGAGTTTTGACCGGCATCTAGAATTCCAGCACCGAAATTTGCAGTGACTTCATCGGCTTCGTGTGCGGCGATGGAACTGGTTTTTCGTCGACTGGGTTCGCGAGCACCGTGATTTGGCCACTCGAGCGAGGCGGGACGATGATGATTTTCCTGCAACTTTCTTCACGAATAAGCAACTTCTATCTAGCTTTTCTCCACGCTCGGGTGTTGTCATGGGGCGTGCCGCATATCGAAATGCTCTTCTTGACGAGACAAACACGCTCACCAAATTTGAGCGCTATCCGACTAGAGACGGGTGAGATATGAGCATCGAAAGTCATTGTTCGTGACTGTCCCTTTAATGGAGCTTAGTTGCAGGGTGGCCGCATGGGAATAGTGTGCGGATCCTCTTGTTTCGGTATTTTGCCTATAACTTCTTCTTGGGATGTCTGTTTAAGCTAAAATTTACCCTTAGGGGTTTTCAATCGTGCTGGATCTAATGACGGTGGTCCCACAACAATTTGAAACACCGAAAATATAGTTCGAGTTATAGGGTCCGTTTCAGGAGAGGTTGATTCTGCCGAAACTGCTTCTTGGTCTGCACTGCTCTAGACATGTCGGATTGTGACGAAACTTGGCAGGCGGCCTTTTAAAGTGCTTATGAAATCTTGACCAGCTTTGGGGCTATTCTGAGACTGTCGAAAGTTCCACTGTATGTTAGGCTTTATTGATCGGTTTTTCCTTTTTATTCCACATCGGGGACCCATAATGATGAAAAATATCTTCCAACAGCATGCCCCACTGAATGTTGTGCTTCAAGAGAAGCGAGAAGTACAATCATTCAGAAAATTTTCTCTGGACAATCATTCAGAAAATTTTCTCTGGCTTTATAGTCACAGGACTACGTGAACGCCGGGGAGATTCACGCAATACTGTAACTAGGATGCTCAGACGTTTGGATGCAATGTACAGGTCCATCCGTGGAGACTTTAGGGGGAGAAGAGACTTCTGAGGGATCTATCGAACTCCTCACCCTCAAGGGACTATTAGCGATTCTGACAACTTGAGGATTTTGTAGGGACCTCATTGGTCAGAATCTGGCCTATCTGGAGGCCAAGTGCTATGAACCTTTGGTCGGCATTGTTTGCTGCTACCTCTGTAGGTCCCATCTAGCAGGGTCCAATCGGGAGCTTTTGGCCTGTTGCGAAGGTCTAGGCTTGTCGGCTAGAGGAATTTTGGCGAGGCGGCCTCATGGGCCCCATCCTGCCGGGTCTAGTCGAGGCCTTTTTATGGGCATGTCTGAAAGGTTTGGGCCAGTGGGCTAAAGGAAGGTTTTTGGCGAGGCGATCTCATGGGGAGGCATCTCTGAAGTCTCTGGCAGGTTGGGCTCTGGCTTTGTCAATTTCTTGCCTTCGTGGGAGTCTTTAGCATTTTTGGAAGGATTTATTGTTCATCGCCCGCACCCTCAGGTACTCGTTTTTGTTTTTGATGTTAAAGTGTGGGAGATCTTATGGGGCTCTCACTCCCGGGCGAGCTATTTAGTATTGCGATTGGATGTTGGCAGCTGAGGATTTGTGGGGACCTTATTGGCCAGAGTTGTACCTGTTTGGCAATTGGGTGCAGGTGCCGGCTGGGACTCCGAAGCTGCGTCAACCTGCTTTTTGTCGGTCCAAGTGCACTTCGTAGGTTTTCACTTGGACTGGGGAAGTGGAGCCAAACAGACGGTTTTCACCAACTTCCATTGTTTTCGGGCTCTTTTACCCATGACCTTGCGGCCATGTCCACCCTCTTCATCCGTTTTTTCTC